CGACAACAAGATCGACTACGTGCACTGGGACGATCTCAACGAGCTGGTGGATCGTTTACGATTGCTCGACGCTTCGCACCAAATAGGCCACAACGGCCACGACAACGAGATTCTGTCGATCATCGAGGAACTTCGCGAAGCCGGCTTTATTATAAATTAAACTGTGTCTCGAAAAAACTAATCAATCGATCGATCGATGTCGCTCGCATCGATGATGCATGCATATCAACAAATTTGGGATATCTGAGCAGAGCAAAGACGTGACGAACGGCATTTTGTACCGTCGATGGAGTGGATTAATGAGAAGTTTCGTGCGCGATAACGCTCTGTGTCGCACCGTTACGGACTTTGACGCGAGGTCGCGCAAGATTCGCCGTGTAGCGCAACCTGAGGCTGATACCGACGCCGTCAACAAACTGTACCTGGATCGGTGCGTTAAAACGTTGAAAAATCAACTGAAAGAGTCAGATGAGAAGCTTGCCGCGTTAGAGAAAGACGTGCGAGCGTTACAGACTGTGGTAAACGAGCTTCGGCGTGCGAATATCGCTAGATTAGAAACGAGTAACGAACGCTAACGAAACGTCAACGAACGACGACGAAACGTTCACGAAACGTCAACGAACGACGACGAAACGACGACGAAACGACAACGAAACGTTAACAAAACGTCAACGAACGACAATGGACGACAACAAACGGTTCACGGACAGCAAAGGACGGTTCACGAATGGCTACGAACGGTTGAAGGATGGCCGAACGGTTGAGGAACGGTTGTCGGACGGTTATCTAAAGGCTCAGGAACGGTTCAGGAACGGCTGCGAACAAATCAGGAGCGGCTACTGAACGGGTCAGGAACGACTACGAACGGCTATCGAACGGCGACGAATGACGGATGACAAAGAACCATTATTGAAAGACGATGAACGAGAATAAACGGTTATTGAATGGTTAAAAAATTAGAGATATAAATTATGATGTAATTTCTTTGCACATATTATTACGCGCCGACCAGCCGCA